GCAGGAGCAGTACAGCAGCTCCATGACCCGAAAGCAGTTGTCCAGCAGGGCTTTGGGCCGCACCAGCTTCAGGCTCAGCCGCCGGTCACTCAGGAGGGACAGCACAGCATCCACCGGGGGGCTGAGCTTCACATCCTGGGAGGGAGGACACGGTTAGGCACGGCCGGGGAGGAGCCGGCCACAGGCCAGGACGGCTGTGGGGGCTGTCGCATCTGGAGCCGAACACTGAAGACAGACGCGCCTTCCTGTGGCCAGGAGGCCTGTGTGCAATCCTCTCCTTCCTCCAGGTGCCACATTTCCTGGGGAGCGGGGCACCCCTCAATGTCCCTCACCCAAGCACAACACAGAGGCTTCTCTCTTCCCATCTCTGGAAAAACGACTACCCTGCCCAGAGGCACCGAAGAGCCACTAAAGAAGCCCCTAGAGCCCAGGCCAGTTTGGCTCAGTGGATACCTGTGGACTGAAGGGTCCCGGGTTCGATTCTGGTCAAGGGCAGGTACCTCGGCTGCAGGCTCCCAGCGCTGGTCGGGGGCAGCAAGAAGCAACCAATCTATGTCTCTCTCTCACATCAGTGCTTCTCTCTGTCTCTCCCTCTCCCCTCCACTCTCTCTAAAAACCAATGGGAAAAATATCCTCGGGTGAGGATTTTTAAAAAAGAGGTTGCTGGGGCTCCCGGCCTTGGTCAGAATCTGGAGAGCTCCCCACGCAGCAAAAGCAGCTTCGGGCCCCTAAGCCGGGGATCAGCTGGGGCTCCCGGCCTTGGTCAGAATCTGGAGAGCTCTCCACAGTCACACAGCAAAAGCAGCTTCGGGCCCCTAAGCCGGGGATCGTTAGAAGCTCGCAGTGGCTGTTGGGTGTTCTGGCTGCGGAGCAGGTGGGGGTCCCTGGGGCAGGGGGTACCAGGGGAGCAAGACAACATGGGGGTGTGTGGAGGGGTCCCACGTGCCTGCACGGCACACACTCATCCAGTCACCGTACTCTTCAGGCTCTTGTGGGACATACATACTCGGGGGCCTCACGCTGAGCAGGCAGTTACAAGGAACCGCTCTATTGTTGTTGTTGTTAACTGAAGTCCATAGTTTACATTAAGGTTCACAGTCTGTGTTGTACGTTCTATGAGCTTTAACGAATAAATGCATGATGTCACACGCTCACTTTACAGTATCATACAGAAGCGTTTCATCGCCCTGAACACCTCCTGTGCTCCACCTATCCACCCCTCCTCCTCTCCCCCCAAAGGAACCTCGTTTCTTAGTTGCCGAAACAAAGCCACGGGGTTCAATGACTTACCCAAGACTGCAGAGCTCGACAGAGCCCGGAGCAGGGTCTCAGGCACACCTCCTGCCCCCCAGCCCAGTCCAGCCCAGCCCACCCGCTGGTCATCACTGGCTGTCTCCTCTTCTTTCCCATTTCTCCCACACCCATCAGGACATGCTGGAACTTTCCAGGTGTTCACATCCTCCCTCGACAGCCCTTGGCCACCGTACTAACCCACATACGCATACACACATGCACATGCATGCATGCAGGCATACAAGCATGGAGACACTCATACATGGATGCACACGCAGGCATACACACACATGCACACACAAGCACGCACTTGCACATGCACACCCAGCATGCAGGCACACCCACACACATGTAGGCAGGCACACACAACATGCAAGCATGCAGGCACACACACACATGCACGCAGGCAGACACACGTGCGTGCAGGCACACACATGTATGCATGCAGGCACACACACATGCAGGCAGGCAGACACACACAAATACATTCAGGCAGACACACATGCAGGCAGGCAGGCACGCCCACATGCACGTATGCAGGCACAAATATGCATGCAGGCAGGCACACACATGCAGGCAGGCACGTCCACACACACGTATGCGGACACACATGCATGCAGGCAGGCACGTCCACACACACGTATGCAGACACACATGCATGCAGGCATGTCCACGCACATGCATGCAGGCACACACATGCAGGCAGGCAGACACACACACACATGCATGCAGGCACACACACATGCATGCAGGCACACACATGCATGCAGACACACACACATGCATGCAGGCAGGCACACACACATGCATGCAGGCACACACATGCATGCACACACACACACACATGCACGCAGGCAGACACACACATGCATGCAGGCACACACACATGCATGCAGGCAGGCACACACACACGCAGGCAGGCACACGTACACTGCCCGCCCACCTCCTGGCCCAGCTCACCCCGAGGGCCTGCTGGACTTCCACCAGCAGAGAGTGGATGTCCTTCAGGTACTTCCAGGACGGGTGGCCTTCGAGCAGCACCCCCTGCACGGCCTCGGTGGCGCTGAGACTCACCCAGACCCACAGGTGGCGCAGCTCCTGCTGGCTCACGCGGGCCCTCTGCTGTGGGGACGGGAGAAATCACTGAGACCCCAGACACGGGCCTCTGCGCCCCTCCCACCCCGCTGACACTGCCTCCCACTTGCCCGGGCTTCGGAGCCGACCACGGGAGTCCACTGTGGACTGCAGACAACCCTGGGCCTGGGCCTGGGCCTGGGCCACGGCGAGCCTGCTTGAGGGGCCAAGGAAGGCCCCGGGCAACAGGAGCTGCCACACCCCGATGGCTCTCAGGAGAGGCCCGGACGCCCCAGGAGACAGGGGCCTCCCAGCCCGGGAGGGGATCCTCACCAGCCTCGTGACGTTGGCCGCTCTGAGCACCCCCTCGTAAGGCATGCTGACCCTGTAGCCGATGGGGAAGTACTGTTTCTGGGGAGGTAAACAAAAACCACAAGATCAGAGTCAGGGATGCTCAGACAGGTGCTCCC